TGAGCTCCGTCCTCCCTGCAGGAGGCTGACTTCATCCCCTTCGCGGTGCTGAACATGATGATGGGCGGCGGCGGCTCCTTCTCGGCTGGCGGACCCGGCAAGGGCATGTTCACCCGGCTCTACCTCAACGTGCTCAACAGGTGAGCGGCGCCTGCCCCTCACCATCCCCAGGGCCATAGGCCCAGCTGAGGGCGTCTCACCTCCAGGTGTCTCTCCTGTCCCTGCAGGCACCACTGGATGTACAACGCCACCGCCTACCACCACAGCTACGAGGACACGGGGCTCCTGTGCATCCATGCCAGCGCCGACCCCAGACAGGTGAGGCCCAGGCCGGTGAGGCCAGCTGCCGCAGGGCATCCCAGGCGAGCTGTGCAAACAACTCTCGCCTTGGCCTCATGCCTCCCTCGCAGGTTCGAGAAATGGTGGAGATCATCACCAAGGAGTTCATTTTAATGGGCGGGACTGTGGATGTGGTAAGCACGGCCCCAACCCCGTGACCCCATCCAAGGCTGCGCTTGTCCCATGGGGGGCCCTCCCTGGATGTCACTGGGCACCCGGTCTGCTTGCCCCTGGCTGACCCCGTGCGTCTCCTGGCTGCCTGAGGTCCTTGGCTCTGCTGACAGATGCCGCATGCAAGGCGGGTCCCTCCCGCCCCTGCGGGCGAGGCAGAGCAGCCCCGTGCGCAGCCCTGCCAGCCCTCCTGGCTTCTCCTTCTCAGCTCCTCCGGCTCTAGCCCCGCGCTTGATGCCTTATGTGTTCAGAAGCCTCGTTACTTCCTGGTCCAGAACTGGCACAAAGGACACATTTTACACGCACATACACACGCATGCGCACAAGTACCATACATGCCCAGCGTGCAGGCCCCGTCCTCTGGGGGTCGGTGCACGTGCTTCACCTCAGGTCACACTTTCTGCAGCCCCTGTAGCCTCGCATGGCCCCTCTCTGAGCAGAAAGAAGCGTCACTCCAAGCGGAGGGGCTTGAAGTCACTGGCGGGTCCACAGGGCCCTGCTGGGCAGGCAGTGCTCCCCGATGGGAGGCCCCGAGGTCGCCTTCAGTATTTGCCTGAAGTGCAATCGTGAAGCGCCCGTCCTGAACGGGCAGCTGCTTTACTTAGAAATGACACAACTTCCAGCCAGTCTGTCAGGACTCGCTCTGCAAAGTCTGTCGGGTCCCAGAGCTATCGGGCCACCTGCCTCCCAGCTGCCTCTATCCTCGAACCCCAGGCCGGACTCCCTTGTACCACTCACCTCTGGTCAGAAGGGCTCCTGGAATGGAGCTGGTAGCTGGGCTGTCCCCTCAGCGTTGGGCCGGGAGCACGGTGGGCAGGGCCTGGGGCCCGGGGAGCCGTCTGCCTCAGCGCTGACCTTGGGCCGGGACACCCTTCCGAGCCACTCGGTGGCTGGAGTGCCTGGCTGACAGCACGCCGGGCTGTCGACCTCAGGTGGAGCTGGAGCGAGCCAAGACGCAGCTGATGTCCATGCTCATGATGAACCTGGAGGCCAGGCCCGTGATCTTTGAGGACGTGGGGAGGCAGGTGCTGGCGACCCGCTCCAGGAAGCTGCCCCACGAGCTGTGCGCGCTCATCCGTGAGTACGGGCGCGGCCGGGCTGGGAGGGACCTGCCTGGTGTGCGGAGGCTGCGGCTCTAACCACGGGGCCCTGTGGCGCGGGCGGCGGGTGTCTCGGCCCCAGGTGTCTGTGGCCTCTCACACGTGGCCTCCAGGGGGCTCGGACGTCCTCTGCTGAGGGCCCGGTTTTACTTGCTTGTGCGGCTTAGGGCACAGTTTCTTAGCTTTGTGATGCCCAAGGGGTCTGTGACCCAGAGGTCGGCACTCTGTTGTGAGGTGAGTCGCCTGGTGTGAAGCTGGTACCGTTTGCAGTGTCCCCTGGGCTTGGAGTCCTGGGGGGCCCCTCAGACCCTCGAGAATGAGGGGGCTCCACCTTCCTGTGGCCTCGTCTTCTGCAGCAAAGCCAGCACTGCTGGTGCGTTGCCGGGTGGCTCCTGGCTTCTCCGCCCAGGCTCAGCGTGTGGCCTCTGCCACGTTCCTCCCTCAGGCCATGCACTCGGAGTGGGGGGCTTCTGTCTCTGCTGACACACCAGCTTTTCCCCCGAATTCCTCCTGGGGGGCATGTCCGGTTGCATTTGGAAACATGGACACTTCCCCGTCGCTAAGCGAAGCCAAGCCCGCGTCCGTCCTTCGCCCCGGCTCACGGGCAGTCCCCACAGCTGCTCCTGACACTCTGAGTCCCGCTCCTCTCCCTGGTGGCGGCAGATGAGCGGCCTGGAGGCCGGGACCAGCAGTGTCAGGCCTTCCCGTCCCTGTCCCCGTGCCAGGTGACGTGAGGCCAGAGGACATCAGGCGAGTGGCCTCGAAGATGCTGCGTGGGAAGCCGGCGGTGGCTGCCCTGGGCGACCTGAGCGACCTGCCCAGCTACGAGCACATCCAGGCGGCGCTGTCCAGCAGAGACGGGCGCCTGCCCAGGACCTACCGGCTCTTCCGGTAGAGGCTGTTGGCACACGTTTCTTTGGAGGTGAATTTAGTGCAAGGACTGAGCGCTGCGAACCGCAGGACGCTTCTCCGCAGGGTGAACGCACACGCCGACGCGGCCGCACTCAGCGCCCTCAGGACTACGCGTGCCTCCCGCACTCCACTCGGCCGGGTGGTGTGCAGAAGGCTCCGGCCACAAAGCGCCTTGTCAGTGCCAGGGCGTGGCCCGGGCACGCTGCCTGTTTCATGGCGCGGCTGTGCACCTGGGCTGTCAGCCGATGTCATCAGTTGCATTGGTGTCCTCACCCTTGATTTAGGACAGGTCGTTCCAGGCCGTTGGAATTTTCTAGAACAAGGCAGGGACGTGCCTGCCCCCTGTCCCCCGATAGGCCTTCTGTTTGATCCAGCATTGCCAAGCCGCTTGCCCTCATTGGAAGATGGGCTCTGACTTCAGGTGTCGGCGCACGGGGTGGGAGGGGCTTCTTGGGCTTGGTGGTCGGGATCACCTTTTAAAAGGTGGGAGACGGGAGCTGTACGTTCCGAAGGGAAAGGTTTGTGCTTCTCAAACTCCAGTTCCCATAGAAGCCCCAGGTTCCACATGGGAACCCTGAGTCCCCCGGGTAGCTCTAGGCCACCACAGTGTAGAGGGCAGCGTCCTGGCACAGCCATGGGGCACTGGAGGAGAGGGGCCTCCATGTCATCTTTCCTGTGACCCCAGGCAGCCTGGCTCTGCCGTACCAGGGGGTGTGTGTGTGTGGGGGGGGGGGAGGGGGGGTGAGGAATCAAATAAACACGTCCGCGTTACTTCTGTCTGCAATCGACTGTTTTGCAGGGCCTGTCAGTTACTTTACAACACACCCCAGTGTAGGCGCCTGGTGGGGCATGTCGGCCCACTGTCCTTCCACTGTCCTCCGTCCACGGGGGCCGGCGGGAGCCCCGGGGTCGGGGG